TGATAGAATGTAAGGTATTATCTCTATTTTTCATATTCGCTAAGAGTTGCTTTGTGGACTAAGATATGGTCTATTTTAGTGAAGGATCCATGTGCTACTAAGAAGAAAGTGTATTCAGTCATCAATGGATGAAATATTCTATATGTGTCTATTAAATCATAATTAATTAATTGTATTTTTTAGTTCTATAGCTTCTTTATCTAGGTTTTTGTTTGGATAATTTATCTAATGGTGAGAGAGGTATGTTAGAGTCACCCAGTATTTTTGTGTTGTAGTCTATTTGATTCTTGAAATYGAAGGGTTTGTTTCATGTACGTAGATGCTCAATTGTTTGGGGCATAAATATTTATRATTGTTATGTATTATTGATGTATAATTCCCTTAAGCAGTATAAAATGTCCTGTTTTGACCCTTTTGATTAACTTTGGCTTGAAAGTTTCTATACTTATCTGATATAAGTATAGAAACGCCTGCTTGTTTACAAGAATCATGTGAATGATATGTTTTTTTCCATCCTTTTACCTTCAGTCTGTGGATGTCTTTGCTTATGAGGTGAATGTCTTGAAGACAGCATATTATTGACTTGTTTCTTAATCCAATCTGCTAGTCTGTGTATTTTGATTGATGAGTTTAGGCCATTTACATTCAGTGTTATTATTGAAATATGATTTCTATTCCCTGTGATTTTGATTTATTTCTGGATTTTAGTTTGAATTAGTTTCTCCTTTGATTGATTATTGTTCTAGTGTAGTTTCCTCCCTTTGCTGGTTTTCACTTTTTTTTTTTCTTCATGAAATATCTTATTGAGTGTGTTTTGTAGTATAAGCTTTCTAGTTGTGAATTCTTTTAACTTTTGTTTATCACTTTTTGTTTTTATTTCATTGTCAAATCTGAAACTTAATTTTGCTGGGTATAGTATTCTTGGCTGGCATCCGTTTTCTTGCAGAGCTTGGAATATGTTATTCCATGACCTTCTAACTTTGAGGGTCTGTGTTGAGAAATCAGCTGCGATCCAGATTGGTTTCCCTCTAAAAATAACCTGTCATTTTTCTCTGGCAGCCTTTAACGTTTTATTCTTATATTGTATGTTAGGCATTTACATAATTGTTGTGGATCTGTTGTAATTTYGTACATTTGGGGTCCTGTAAGATTTCTGTACTTGATTTTCCATTTCATTCTTTAGGTTTGGGAAATCTTCTGATATTATTTCATTGAAAATATTGTACATTCCTTTGACTTGTGTCTCTGAGCCTTCATCTATCCTGATTAATCTTAAATTTGCTCTTTTCAGTTTATCCCATATTTCTTGGAAGTTCATGGTTTCTTAATATCTTTTTCCATGGTCAACTTTCTTTTCAAGATTAGATATTTTTTCTTCATCACCTGAAACTCTGTCTTCCAAGTAATCTAGTCTGCTCTTGATGCTTTCAACTGAATTTTTAATTTTGCTTATTGATTCCTTCATTTTGAATATTTCTATTTGATGTTTTTTAGAATCTCTTTCTCTTTCTTGAAGTGATCTTTCACTTCCTGTATTTACTGCAAGATTTCACTCCTTATATCATCCCTTACCTTGCAGATCARTTTAACCACGTACATTCTAAACTCCATCTCTAACATTTCTTCCACTGTGGTGTCAATGGATTGTGTTATTGGTGTATCTTGGTTTGTTTGGGATGATTTAGTTCTTTCTTTTTCATGTTGTTTGTGTGTCTACCCAACTAATAGTATGAGTATGAGGCAGTAGAGTTTCTACCCTGTAGACTTATAATGTCCCTGAAGGTTTCCAGTACATTACCATTTATGGGGAGAGAAATAATAACAACAACCATGCAAACAATATATAGCATTAAACCAAATATTCCTGCTATGACGTCTACAATGTTAGTTGTCACAAAAAAAACAGAAATAATATGATCAGTTATTGCCTACAATAAGAACAGTAAGTTTGCAAAAGGGTTTACAATTTTGAATGATGAACACGAAGAGAATAGAAGTGATATAGGATGTGATGATTGTGAGGGAGTAGGAAAGAAGATAGAAATAAAAAACTAAAGGAAGAGTAAAAGAGATAAAAAAAATATAGATTGGCTGTTAGCAGAAGAAAAGGGAAATAGGTTAGAGAATAAATATATAGAGAGTTACTATATATATATATATATATATATATATACATATAATATATATATATATATAATTTTTAAAAAATAAAAATAAAAGAATACAAAACAAAACTGAAATATACTAATCAAACATTCTAGTCCTCAAAAAATGATCCATGAACAATGACTAGTCTCAAAATCTAGAAATGGGAAATAAAACAAATATGAATATGTATAAATGTGCATGAACCATTAAGGTCACAATTAAACACAGAAAAGAAAAAAGGAAATAAAAAAAAAAACCCAGATGAAAAGTTGAAGAATTCTACCCTCTGGATTGCTTGGAGTGGTAATGTCACAGGTGGAATTCCTTGAGRCAGGGTTTAGGCTTAGGTGGATTCCAGGCTCTTTACTGAATGCCAGCTGGTCTGGAGATTTTAACTTGGTGTACCTCTGGGGCCCAGAAATTGCCAGTCTATGCTGGAAGACTGCACCCCAGGGACCTCCCCTGGGTTCTACTTGTGTGGTGGAGGAGCCACTATGTCACCTACAGATCCCATATTTCCTGGTCTTGGATTCAGTCTCCAAACTCAATCTGTCCCACCCCTGCCCTTTCCAATTCCCAGCCTATTGATGTCTCCCAGCCCATCCTACAAACAACCAGATTGGGGTGGCAGGGAGTCAGGTGGGTTTCCATGACCAGTTGTCCCCTGTGTAAACTTATCCCCATGTTTGATTTTCTCCTGGTCACTTAGGCACACTCTATGTCACACAGTTTGGGTTTGATCTCTAAACTCTTCATACCCAGACACATTTCAGGCCTCCTAAAAATTCAGGTTCCTTTAATTCCCTTGTCCTTCTACTTGGCTCATGGGGGAACCACTCTGGCTGGTGCTTCTGGCCGTGGCAGCTGTGGTACTAGGATTTCTTCCTTATTTTATTATACCCAGCCTCCTGAGTCTCTGATTTGCTTTCAGTATCCAGTTTTAAATTCCATTTTTTGGTGCTATTGTTCATCCACCTTGCTGAGAAGCTACCTGTCTGCTTTCTTGGTTTCACACCACAGAGCAGCCTCAGGAAAGCAACCTTCTCCATTCTGACATCTTGTGAGATAGTCTTTGAGCTTTTTTTACCTCAATCATTCAAACACATAGAACTCATTTTCAGCTTGCAGGGGCTGGGCCAGATTCACCTTCCAGGCTGTGGTTTGCCAACCTCGGCTTTAAATAGAGAAACTGAACCACAGAGCCAGTCTCTTTCACTCAATCACACAGTCATCTGAATGTTGTCCCAGCTCCTACAGTGGGAACTCCTCTCCTTACCCTCCAGCCACATGCCATCTGTCTCATGGTCTAACTCCTTGACACTTCTCAGAGGTGCTCCTTCATCTGACAAATCACCTATGGCTCCCCAACCCTGGCTTGGGTTCCCTTTCTATACTTCCATATGATATACTTCCTGAGCCCAGCCCATCCACTTCCTGGGTCCTGGGCTTCCCATTTCATGGCTCTAACCACACAACATGGTAAGGACCTGGAAACACTGATGTCCTTCCAGCTGTGTGGCCAGTGAGGTCAGGGATCCTGTGTATCTCTTGGATCTAAAATCCTTGTGCTTGACAAGAACAAAACAAAAGAAAAAAAGTTCTCTCGTTTGCTTATCAGTTGAATGGATTATTGAGGAAATCCATGAATGAATCTGAGTTATTTTAAGCACTCTGGGAGATTTAAGAAGTCAGTGGGTCAAAGATATAAAAGAGTCAACACATAAAAAATTAGAGACAAATTAGACTGCAAATTGTTAGATCTAAATGACTTGAGGAAAGAAGAAAGCAGTAATGACAAAATAGTTGAAAATGGTTTAGTGAAAGAGTGGACCTTGAATTTTACTTTGAAGCAGTTGCGTGGAAATAGAGGGGGGAAAGTGTACAGGGTTGGGTTCCAGAGGGAGGAATAAGTAAAAATGTGTGGGACTCTACAGTTTGCAACTTTCCCCAGGAACTCCTGGTTGTACTCAGGGTGGAGGTGAGAAGAGTTCTGGAGAGTCAAGGAGTGTTGCTTATTTTCTTCCAGAGACACAGATGTGCACACCGTGGCTTCTCTCTTAAAGCTCTACCTCCGAGACCTCCCAGAGCCAGTGGTTCCCTGGAGCCAGTATGAGGGCTTCCTGCTCTGTGGGCAGCTCATGAATGCAGATGAAGCAAAGGTTTGTGTCTCCTTAGTTCAGTGGTCCTGCTTTAGAACAAAGTGATTGGTTTCCTGAACACTCTTATGGCAGGAAGCAGTGAATCAGTGGGACCCACACCCTTTGGTGAGATGCTTTGTCAAACTGGGTCTTCCGCTGCAGCATAATGACAGATGATGCCTATCATGGTGATTGGTACCTAGCCTTCTCTAAGGAAGGTAATGCACCACAGTAAGTTATCTAAGAATCACTTTTAAAATAATGAGAGAGGAAGAATAGAGCTGAGAAGGCTTAAGAGCTCTGTAGCCTTGCTGARACCTGCTGGGATACAAGGACAGGCTGACCAAGCCAGAGGGCTGGTGCAGGTTTGGGCTGGTTAAGCTCTGTGATGGCAGTGGATATCAGGAATGGTTGCTGGAGGAAAGCAYGTTCCAGGGAGAGGAAGGACAGGGAGGTTTGCTTTGAATTTTTTTTTTTTCTGTGATAGCTGACTGTGGGGTCTGGAATCACCATCTGCAGCATCATGCTAGTGAGAGTACGTAAGTTCACCAGCAGGAGTTTTGATCCTATGCAGATTGTTTCCATAGAGGTCTCATAGTCCACTACCACAGGAATCATATCAGAAAACCAACTGACTAATCAACAAAATAACTAACAGCAATAAAACCTTCATTTTTTTTTAACAAAGACTTTTAATACCAAATGTCCATGAATATATTTGTGCTACACAGTTAATTTGGGGGTCTAAGTCTCCCCTTTAACTAGGTTGACTTAGCATGACTTTTTCTAAAACTCTGTCTGGCAAAGTGGTGCACAGAAAAACCTCTGATGAAGACCTGGACTTAACTTTGCTTTTACCCTTGGGCAAATTATGCGTCTTCTATGAGATTTGGTTTACTTTCTTAGACCAATAGAACTTTCTATAAGGATGGAACCATTATATATTTGCACTATCCACATTTACTATAGTAACCCCTAGTTACTCATGGCTATTGGGTTCTTGAAATGTGTCTAGTGTACCTGAGGAACCAAATTCTTAATTAATTTAATTTATTTAAATAACCACATGTATTAATTAGCTATTTTGATAGACAACATGGGCTGAGAAAATTTTCATAATATTCACAATACCCAGGATTGCTTTGAGGGCTAAGGGATGTGACATAGTGAGTGACATTTTTAAAGAATATTGGTATGGGGGTTTATTTTCTAATCTGCCTCAGAATTTGTTGAAGGTCACCTCCATAGAATATGAATATATATATATATATATTTTAATGGGATTTTCAAGTGAATGAAGAAATAGTGTTCTAACCCCTTAGGAAAACACAGCTGTGAGAATTGCCATCCTGACTGACAGTGGGAAGCCTCAGATCCAGTCATGAGTAGAAAGGCTATTTTACATTTCAAAACCGGGACAGGAAGAGAGCAATAAAGATGTAGCTCACCTGCTGTGGCCATTATAGCTGTTTTTCTGAATAAAATTAGATCACATGATCTGATGTAGTATATTTTGTATGTAAATTATGAATTTTGTGGGGTGAGGGAGATGAGGATATGAAAAGTCTTGATTTATAGACTTTTAATAAATCAATTTTATTGTTTTATGAAAAAATGTTATAAAAAAGTTTTAAAATTGGGCTAAAAAGACAGATGTTTCAGGTGACATCCCACCCCTCAGTTCTAGGGAGAAGAAGAAAGACTCTCAGATGCAGCACAAACAAGATTCCAACCCCTGAACTTCCTTCTGTTAGACCACCTTCTCCCAACATCTCCAATCTCAACATATTTGAAAGTCTCTATGTCCATGGTGATGCATATTAATACCAAGGGCCAAGATCTCACTAGCTAAAATATGGCAGAGGTAGTTGCTTGTAGGGAGGGCTCAGCTGACAAGGAGGGATCTCATCATGAAGTAGGCACTCTGGATCAGACACCATGAGGCTGCATTTGGACTCACAATGTTACAGGGTGAGTTTTCTCCAGGAGAGCAGCTCAGGTTTTATGATGAGGGTGCCCTTGGGCCACATGTGAACTTGTGTACTCTCACAAGCTGGAGATCATAGATGATGACTGTAGACCCCACTGATAGCTGAAAAGAACAAAGGTCCTTCCTCTCTCTGGAACGTGCTTTCCTCCAGCAATCACTCCTGATATCCAARTCACAGAGCTTGACCAGCCCAAACTTGCACCAGCTCTCTGGCTTGGTCAGCCTGTCCTTTTGTCCCAGCAGGTCTCAGCAAGGCTACAGAGCTTGCAAGCCTTCTTAAGCCTATTCACTTTGAAAGTGATTCTAAGATATCTGATTATGGTCCAATTCTTTATTTAATGGATCATCACATCTCAAACATGCATTAAGCAAACAATTATTGTGTGAGTGGGTAAAATTGTCCAGGTTTTATAGTAGCTCAAGGTCAAGGGTGGAGTAGGCTGGCAGAATTCCAGACAAATGTAAAAAAAATGCACCATAACAAAAACTTTGACACACCCTGTGCTATTTTTTGCAACTTTCTGAGAACTTACAGTTATTTCCAATTAATTTTTAAAAACTCACAAAAGTATAGGAACAGGAGCSACTGCCAAAGTGTTGTTTCTGCACAGATGCACCAATTATGTTTCTTGATCTCATTGTTGGCAACTGGGCAGGCTTCCTTACTAGTGTTAAAAATCTCTTCCCAGGCTCAGCAGGAATTGATAAAGCAGCTTTCCAGCCTTCCTCGGGACAACTATAGTCTCCTGAGCTACATCTGCAGGTGAGGGTCTCCTGATGTCAACTCTACCATGTTTGGCCACATCAGAAAATTCAGAATGAATTTCCTGGTTAGAAAAGGAGAAACTATTTCCAAGATTGCAGAGATTCAGGCCCAGAACTTAGAAAGGTCAACTCTATTCACATAACACTGAGGAAGCTTCCTGTTTCTACAAGATAATTTCAAGGATCCCTAGAAATCTGGTTGGCAGTCAGAATGAACAAGCTCCTCCTTCATGCTTGCCAGAGTCCTGGRACATGACAGAGAACCCAGAATCTTTTTAATGTTTCTAGAATGATCTCTGGTCTTCCTGACACAGGACCATAACTTAACACCCCAGAGACATTTATTATGAGCCACGCTTTTTGTTTCCTTCAACCTTTTCTGGGGACCTGCCATGTGACATCCTTGTGATGTGGGTGTGCTGGGGTGGGAACCTGAATCACCCTCCCAGACAGACCCAAATTTTATCTTCTATTTTGTAAAAATAAATTTGTTGTAATTTCCAGATCATAAAAGTGTTACTTGCTTGATTTGGAAACCAGAAAGATACAGCAAATTGTAAATAAAAAATGAAAATTACACAATCCCTCTTGTAGCAAGCACTAATCTCTATGAACATTTGGACATGTTTCCTTCTGGATGTTTCTCTCTGTGATGGATCTTTTCATACATCCATCTGAAAATAGGAAGACATTTTTATATCAGATTGAAATTTTTAAATCGCATCTGACTTTTTTGCCTTATTTTTGTGCCGTGAACACTCTCCTATGTCATAAAATAGGATTATAAATGACTCCATAATATTTCATAATGTCTTATCATTTGGACATATCACTAATAATTTCTGTATATTTGGGACTTTATTTTTATTTTTTATATTTGGAAACTGCCTAGGTTTTGGCAAGTCTCTGATTATCACTATTGATATCATATTTTTAAAAATTTTTGTTAGCTCTTTGGTCTTGCATGACGGTAGAGTTATGTTGCTACAGTCTATCCATTTAAAAAAAAATTTTTTAGAAAAAGTACCCTGAAATTTCCTTATGGATTTGTTCAGGCTTTGGTGGTGGTTGTTTCTTTTACAATGAATCTGAGAATTTCATGCCTCAAATGGGTAAAAATATAGTCAAAACTAATGGTCAGTTATTGGACCTGCTGAGGGTTAGAGCCTCTGCTGGGTCCTCTGAGGGGAGGATGAGAGGGAGGATGCACCATGGCTTCTGTCTCTGAGACCTCACTGATAAAGTTTTCCTCTCTGGAGCSGTGGGTGGGATGTCTCTGAGAACTGGGAGACAAGTATATAAAGGCAAGACAGGTGGGCAGTCACTGGCCCATTTTAGTCCCTCTGGTCATCCCTTAGCTCCCTGAATTTCATCCAGCCGCCCGCTTATGTGATTCTGTGTGTCCAGACCCACCCAGCCCCCAGCAGCTGGGCAATCCTCCATGGTTTCTCTTCCCTCCTTAGTCTTGAATCTTTCAGGYCAAAGCTAAACTCTTGTGGGCAGAGCAGACTGATTCCATTCCTGAGACAGAAGGAAAGAGTTGAGATCTAGCAAGAATCTTGCTGTACCTGTTAAGTACTTTCTCCTGGCAACTTCCTGTTTTCTACTGTGGGATTTCTTGGCTGCCTGCAGGTTTCTACATGAAATCCAGCTGAACTGTGCTGTCAACAAGATGAGCGTGGACAACCTGGCTACTGTGATTGGTGTGAATCTCATCCGGTCGAAGGTTGAAGACCCTGCTGTGATCATGAGAGGTACACAAGCCTGGTCCTGCAGAGAAGGCAGGCCCAGAGGCAGCAACAAACTAGCACCGTCCCTCCTGTTTGTGCACGGCTCTGCATTTTTGCCAAGGGCTTTCAATTGATTATCTTGTCTGAATCATATTAATAGCCCTGGGAGGCAAAGAGGGCTGGAATGACATCCATTTGCCAAACCACACATCTGAGAGAGAACAAGAACTTGCCTGTGGTCACGCAGCATAGTAGGCTGACATGTAAACAGCTAGTGTTTCCTAGTTTTTTTATTACTTTTAAACACTCTTTACTAGGTGGAGTAAACAAGATTTCATGTTGTAAGTCAGATCACAAAAAGGCTTCTGAAAACCTGGATGGAGAAGACTTTTGAGGTTGTGTCTTGTCTCCATAAGCAAACGTCCTGGCATTGAGTACTGATGTGTGCCATGGGTGCTGGAAGGTAGTATACCCAGCACACATTTGATAGGTGTCCAGTGTGAAACCAGGTGTCACTGAGGACCACATCATGAATGAATGATGTCTTCATTTTTTCTTTTGTCATATTGCTATTTTCCTGATCAGAAATGAATCCAGAGAACGATAGGCTGAAAATATCCTTCATGACTCCCTCTTTCACCATCTTAGACCATCCCTTTCACCATAATTTCTTACTCCAAGCAATTAAGAAGGATCCTGAAAGAAGCAAAATGAGGTTCTTTGGGGCCCTGTGGTTAGGGCAGAGTTTGGAGATAAATCATGGTTGGAAACTGTTGAAGACTAACTACCTGCCTCCTATCCCATAGTCCAGCACTACAAATCTCTTTCTTCTTTCTTTCAGGGACCCCTCAGATCCAAAGAGTGATGACCATGATGATCAGAGACCATGAAGTCCTCTTCCCGAAGTCCAAGGATGCACCCCTGTCCCCCTCTGCCCAGAAAAATGATCCCAAGAAACCTCCAGTGCCCCGAAGCTCTGTGGGCTGGGATGCCACTGAAGACCCCCCAATTCCTAGGACGGACAGCTTCAGTAACCCGGTAAGACACGGAGAAAACTTTCTGTCACCGTAGAACTTTCCTTTCATCCAGGTCATTCCGTGTAGAGCTGCTTTGGGTGACAATCTGGCATTATGGATGATGCTATGGCAGGGGCCCCAGCTGCTGCAGATCCACTGAACACATCTTGAGTTCCTGGCCTCTTTTAAAATTTGGCTTCTGTGGGCTTCATGGAGATGGAGTTACTGACATGCATACAAGCGGCCTAAAGACTGGGCAGTGCCATCCCCTCTGCCRGTCTCTCTAAAAGAGAAACCTTTTCAAACACATACCAGGGAAGTTCAAGGGGAAAAAAATAGATACCACATTGTAAATGTTTTGGTGAGAGTTGTTGAAAGTTCTGTGTGAAAGTCCAGAGAGAACTGGCTTCCTGCTAACCCTGAAACGTGATTCCTTCCTCAGAGTTAAGTGATGTGTTCGTGTAATACTTCTCATTCCCTGATAAGCTGTCTCAGCAATGTCAGTCCCCTCATTTGTACCGAAGAGCTGGAGCTCACGTTCCCAATGTCCCCAAACTGCAGATTCCAACATGTAGATGACTCGAGGGCAATAATTTACAAAGGTCAAATATTTTTAGATATTTATAAGGACAAATATTTTTAAAAAGACCATGTGAACTTTATATAGCAGCTTCATCTTTATGTGTGGCCAAGAAATGAATTTAAGATTTCTGGTTGACCAGATAATTTAAACTACCTATAGTATTATTAGTCCTGAAGATGAGAAAACAAAAGTGATAATGATTGTAGCTGTGGCTTTTCTTAAATGAAATGTGTCTGGACATAGGCATCCTACTAACACTCAAGAATTAAATTGCACTTTAAAAATGTTAATATTTCCTGTGAAAAAGTTATCCTAGCAGTCTTTGAGAATAGCCATTGCTATACTTATTTGTCAGGTTTCCACTATTTGGTGTTTGCTGTGGCCAGCTATTATGCTGAGAAACTTAATTAGATCACCTCTGGAGTCCTCACCATGATTGTAAGACAAAATTTACCATGATCATTAAAAAAAAACCATTTTTTAGTTGTAGATGGACACAATACCTTTATTTCGTTCATTTTGTTTTTATGTGGTGCCAAGGATTGAACCCAGTGCCTCACTTGTGCTAGGCAAGCTCTCCACTGCTGAGCCACAACACCCACCCTGCCATTTATATTTTTTSATTGAGGAGCTTAGGCCAGAGAGGTCGACCAGTTGGTCTAGCATGACAGTACTAGAATGTTATAGACCAGGACTCGGGTCTAGTTCCCACTTCAGGAACCAGGTGCTTCTGACACCAGGGAGTATGATAGAGGGAACTTGAACCCTGATTTTCACATTTTATGTTTTGTGCTCAATTCTGTCTGTCTCTGTCTCTCTGTCTCTGTCTCTGTCTCTCATTTAAATTTAAAATATACAATATATACACATGGTTCAAAAAGTGAGAAAAATGATGTGCATTGAAAAGTCGTGTTCCCCCTCCTATTCTCACACACCTTYTTTCCTACTTTTATTAGTTTTTTTTATTCATGCCTTCAATTTTTTTGTACAAATATAAATACTTGAATGTTAATTGTTATCTCTCTTTTTACTCAAAAAGTTGCATGATTTCTTTCTCTCTTTCTGTCTACCTGCACTCTTTCTACATGTACACATTACTCTGTCTCTTGCATTTTTTAACATTGTGGTATACCCTACAGACTTTTTCATGTTGACACATAAACAGCTACCTCACATGACCTCATATTTTTGGCAGATATATTGTATTCTATTCTGTACATGTGCCATACTCTACATAACCAGTCTGTGTAGATGCTCAGCTTATTTTCAGCCCTTTGCACCTCAGACAAGGCCACAAGGAATAACTTTAACCACACATCCTTTTGTCGTCAGCTAGATATATTTCTGAGATAAATTCCCAGAAGTGGTTTTGCTGGTTCAGAGGGTAAGTGGATCAAAAACTGTAATTTTGATAAAAATGATTAGAGTTTGTGTCATTTTATATTTCTACAAGCCATGCATGAAAGAACCTATTTCTCTACAGTTTCACTAACAGAGTGCTCCATCAGATTTAGGGGTTTGCCCATCTGATAGGTGAGAACTGTTATTTTCATAATTTTAATTTGAGTTTCTCCTACTATGGGAGAGGGTTGAACATTGTTTCTTATGTGAAAGGTCTGGTTGCATTTTTTCCTCTATGACCTGTCTAATCTTGTCTTGTGCCCATATTTATTCTGATTGTTGATCTTTTTCTTCCCAATTTGTGTAAGCTTTATGTGATAGGAAGAGTAGCCAATGGGAACCCCTTTGTATATTGGGGAGAGTTGCTTAGGAGATGTATTGCCAGTATTTTGGCCAATTTGTCATTTTGCTTTTGTTTAGCATGGGATAAGTTGTTTGTTTTAGTTTTGCTCTTTTTACTTTTGGAGGTTATGGAAATGCATGTCAATTGAATTTATTGAACTTTTCTTTATGGTCTCTGGATTTTGAACCATAGAAAGGATTCTCATTATTCGCTCATAAAATAATTCATTTACCACATCAAGCAAATGATTTTAATCAGTGCTTCATCTTTAGAGCATGATACGTTCCTTATGTAATTTTGGAAAATTACCATGCAGATAATCAAGAAAAGTGACAAATTAAAAGATGATCTCCTAATTAAAAGTGTCACAGATGTGACTCATTTCTGCAAGACTCTAGTCCTTATCTTAGGGGCAGAACACATAGATGGAAAAATCCCATGTAACACCCATGGCCATTTTTTCTAGGCAAGTGACTCTGATGCCACAAGCCCTACTGGACCACAGCCAAGTGACCAGCATCAGGACAACAGCAAAACCCCCAAGGAAAAGCCAGGAGATTGGAAGCTGCAATCCCGAAAAAGGACTCAAACGCTCCCTAACCGGAAATGTTTCCTGACATCAGCTTTTCAAGGTGCCAACAGTAGCAAAGTGGAGATCTTTAAAAATGAGTTCTGGTCACCTTCATCAGACGCTAAGACAGGGGAAGGGCACAGGAGAACCTTGTCTCAAGACTTGCGCCACCTCTCAGACTCCCAGAGGACTTCCACCTATGATAACGTCCCTGCCCAGCCCGGGTCACCTGGGAATCAACCCAGTGCACTCTCTGCCCCTGCCTGTGACTCCAAGAGAGATCCTCTTGCCAGCACAGACTCTGACACTGGGCCTGCAAGAAAGAACTCTGGAGAAGAGGAAATTGATTCTTTGCAGAGGGTGGTCCAGGAACTACAAAAGGAAATAGAAACACAGAAGCAAATGTATGAGGAACAGATTAAAAAGTAAGTTATGGTAAGAGGAGCACCAGGCAGTACTTGGTTTCCATCTATGGAAGCAATAGATGTTGTTCTTATTGGCCAAAAATTCACATTATGAAAATTTTATGGAAAACAGTAATCTTATAGCAGTCAAGCCTAATAAGTCAAAGGATTAAGGAAGAAATGAGATTCCTCAATGAATGAAAACCCTAAACTATAGATTAAATTTATAAAAACCTGAATAGCTAAGCCTAAATAGCTTTACCAACATTTTCCAGATAGTAGTCCCTTAAGGTAAACAGGCCTTAATGAGTTAAGAAGAACTTTAAAAAAATATTTCATATCATATCATTTGTGGATTCTCCAAATATTTCATGAGCACCTCCTGTGGACCAGGCACTGATCCAGATGTTGGAGAACAGCACTGAACAACACAGATAAAAGTGCCTGTGCTTATAGACAGCTCTCTTCTAGTGAGGACAAGCAAACAATAAAAATATATAATAATGGGGCTGGGGATGAGGCTCAAGCGGTAGTGCACTTGCCTGGCATGCGCGGGGCGCTGGGTTGGATCCTCAGCACCACATACAAATAAAATAAATATTAAACTAAAACTAAAAAATAAATATTAAAAAATTCTCTCTAATTATATATATATATATATATATATATATATATAATAAAATATATGTCATGCCAGATGGTAGAAAATGCTGTCGGCCTTGGAGAGTTCAGGAGGTCAGTTAGAAGTGCTAGTGTTAAATGGGGTGGTCAGGGAAGGCCTTGCTAAGAAGGTGTGTAAGTAAAGGCCTAAAGGAGATGAGGACACAGGAGGCCCATAGATGGGGAAAGAGAAGCAAAGGTGCAGAGGCCTAGAAGCAGGTAGGTCTGGCATATTCTGCCCACCAAGAGCTAAAGAGCCTGGAGTAGGAGGAGAGTGACGAGTAGGAGATCGGGGAAGAGAAGTAGGGTGTTCAGGGCACAGTAGGGTGTTGTCAGCCATCAGGAAGCCTGATTAAGATGGAAGCTTCTGGACAGTTTCTACCTCACTTAATGCTTTGTCTGATCATTGGCTTTCTGTTGAGCACAGGTTGCAGGAGGCAAACGAAAGTGGGAGGCCAGTTAGGGCAGCTGGTGCTACAATCTCATACAAATTCCAAAAATGTTTGCCCACAATTTATTCCTTTGGGTAGATAATTTTTTTTATTTGTACTATGATTGGCCAGCAAATTCTTTTTCGCAAGAGGAAAACCTCCATCTAAGTTTGCCTGCATGAGCAGTAGTCATAAGATCTTGAAATGTGAATTAGCGGGGATTTGTATTTATGAATACTTCATCCATTTAGACTCAGGTACCTGAAAGGAAGACTGTTGTGAGCCCCCCTCCATTGTTCCCTGCAGAGAGCTCCATCAAAAGCAAAATGCAGCTCCTTTGTCTAAGAACCTGTCATCAATCATCTGTGGAATTACATGCTTTCTGTGACATCTCCGCAGTGAACAAAACATCCCTAGAGAAAGCTCACATCACACTCTAAGACAAGTGTCACTGACAGAGTAGAAAGAGAAGCAGCTGCCACAAAGGTGGCTGCTTCTGAATAGAACAGAGTCCTGTGAATCGACCTGTCAGGGGATCCCCTGTCCACAGCAGAGGGAGGAGGATTGACAGCCTGGCAGTTAGCCTACTCATAAGTTTTGTGTTTCAGAAACATCTTGTCATGGAACCCCCACAGAAATCCTCTACTCTCATTTCCCAGAAGAAAGGGGGGTTTAGGAAGGATGGAAGGTTCCTGAAGGTCACGTGACTAATCATGCTGGGGCTGGGATTTGAACCCAGGTCAGCCAGGCCCCTGAGCCCATCCAGCCTCCACCTCTCCATTGGATTCAGGAGTCAAGATCTAGCACAGTATCTTGCTTGGGCTTTTCTCCAATCCAGAAGGCTTTATAGAACATGGAGAAGAAAATTAGATTTGTAATGAGAGAGTCAAAAGGAATAGGAGCGGTTTTGCTCCAAGAAGAGATTGACRGGGATAGGCAAGGCTCTGAAGTGGGGCTGTTACATGCAGAGTAGGCCAAGGCCCTAGAAGATAAAATCTGAGACATGGGCTCTGATGGCAGCTTAAGTCTCCACATAAACTTGGGCAGGCTGTTCAGAGAGTAGGGAGGGAGCACCCCACAGAATGAAACTGAGTCAAATTTCCAATCACACAATCCAATCTGAATTTCACCCCTTAGGACTAAAATCCCTTCCTTTAACTTAAAAATTCAAAGTGTACGCTCATTCCTAAGGGTTAATTCAGCCTAACCTGGCAGGGGGCATCTGGGAGTCTATTATGATTTTGGCCAATAATAATGAAAATTCTTTCCAGAGGTTTGGGAGGCTGAGGCAGGAGGCTTTGTGAGTTCAAAGCCAGCTTCAGCAACTTAGTGAGGCCCTATGCAACTCAGTGAGACCCTGTGTCTAAATAAAATACAAAATAGGGCTGGGGATGTGGCTCAGTGGTTGAGTGCCCCTGGGTTGAATATCCAGTCCAAAGAGAATAAGAGGAAGGAAGGAAGGAAGGAAGGAAGGAAGGAAGGAAGGAAGGAAGGGAGGGAGGGAGGGAGGGAAAGAGGGATGGAAGAAAATTCTGAGAATTCAGGAATGCCGCAGATTTTTCACCTGAAGCAAGATTCAGAAGTGGGGATGGGGGGCTGCCGGACCATACTTCCTAAGAGCAGTTCCCTTTGCTTTCCAAGTCTTGATCCCCCAGAAGACCTTAATAAAGGCAGTCTCCAAACCACATTTTGCATGGGAGCAGGATGAGGAGGTATCATGTGCACAAAAGTGTTGAGAGTCTGGAATTTGGATGAGGCTTCCATACTTTTTATTGAACAGAACAGGTACAAAGTGCCGTAGAGGTAGTCGCAGACATACATTAGAGATGGTCTCTTCTTTCAAAGATTTTATTATATGGTTGAAGATACAAAACACAAGATGACATAAAAAACAGTAATGCCAGAAAGGTCACAGGATGGTGTTAAATGACAAAGGTAGGGCTCAGACATGAATTCAGWTTTACTGGGGAATCTTTACCTGAGAAGAAGGACATCAATAAGAGGCCCCTGTTGGATCCAGTCTTGTGTTTTGGAATGGAAAATGAGCAGGAGGTTCTGAGTAAGGGTGAAGGGTCTCGAATTAATACCCGGTTCCTTCATTCTTTTCCTTCTTTCTTTGTAGCCTTGAGAAGGAAAATTATGACGTCTGGGCTAAGGTGGTGAGGCTCAATGAAGAACTGGAGAAGGAAAAGAAGAAATTTGCGGCTCTGGAAATCACTCTCCGCAATGTAGAGCGCTCCCGGGAGGATGTTGAGAGGAGGAACAAGGTTTTGGAAGAAGAAGTCAAGGAATTTGTGAAATCAGTGAAGGAGCCCAAGGCTGATGCTTGAGGGTCCCGGGAGTACCAGCGATGTCCCAGAGGGGATCAACTCTGCTCCTTTTCTTGGTGCTACCTGACAATGAAGGAGCAGGATTACTCCCTGAGAGGGAAGGGATGGTTTTGGGGGAAACATCAGTAAATCAAAGGAGTTTGAAAGAAGATGAGGGGGATCAGGGACACCTATGATCACCTGTTGCTGTACTCAAAGGGACTGTTTTATTCCACTGAAGTTGCAGGCAGAGCAAAGTGGAACCTTCTATGGTGGAAGGTGAGGTCCAGTGAAGAAGTTTGAGACAAACATCAAAGGACACAGGCAGACGTCTGGCCCTGGCCCCTGAAGCTAGGCTGAGGCCTGAGTTCTTTGTTTCCTACGTGGAATGATTCACTGACTCAGATGGCCTTACGGCATCTCTGGCAGACAACGCAATTCAGTGCTCAAGTGCTCACCCCAGAAGACTGTTTTGGCTGAGGTCACATGGCCCTTCTGTCATGCTACCACGAGATGGAATTCTCCAGGAATTCTCAAACTTCACCATAGACAAAAAAAAAAAAAAAAAAATCAAAAAACAATGAATTGTATTTATAAAAGCAAAATTATGAGAAAATTATATCCAAATAAAGAAAAAGGAAAGAACAAGATGGTTGCCAATCCATATAAAATCTTTATGAGATCTAGTGAAAGACCCTTGCTCCTTGAAGCAGATGTACCCTTCTCAGGGGACACAGCTTGGTGAACAGGCTGTGAGCTGTGTCACAGCCTCTTCCTGCCTTTCAGTGGCCCCAGTTGTCTGTACTGTGGGTTAACACAGTAATAGTCATGATTACATATATCTTAATTTTTCTCCCTATTTTGTCCAAATGCAAGAGAGTTTACTGACAGTGGGGTTTTCCCAGCAGAGAGCTGACTATTCCTCATCTATGTCAGTGTAAGGGTCCAGCGAAGCGYCGGAGGAAGAGACCACACAAGAGACTGGCTTCATGCAATTGGCAAAAGGGATTTATTGATTCAGCATGCTGAGGTTCCAGGCTCACTCAGGAAGATAGAGCAGCCCAGAGCCCAGAGCAGAGGTCAAGCAGAGCTTAAGTACACTTTTAGAGGAGGGCGGGGGGCTTTGCATACATCAGAACAAATCATCATGAGGCACGGGAAAATTGAACAACAACTCTGAGACATGATTAGTACATTCATTGGCGGGAACAGGCTGGGCAGGGGTGATTGGTCACTTCTAAGCGGGGTACACATTCAAACTGATTGGTTTTAGGGCCTAAAGGACTATGTGACATACTACACAGAATCCCAGGTTATTAGACAACCAGTGGAAACAGTGGGGATATTTACTGGGCAGTTCCAATATTGTCCTAACAGCTACAGGGATTACAGGTTCTGGGGGTAGCAGAGGAATTTTAACAATACCTAGTCTTTTACTTTTTAACCTAGGCCTTGCAGTTTAGAAACTTTACAATGCCCGGTCTTTTACACTTTAACTCAGGCTTTGCAGTTTAGAATCAGCTTAGAAATTTTACCTTTACATCAGGACTCAGGTAGTCCAGTTGAGCCTTTTATGGTCTTTGACAGCATTTTAGTTAGGTGGCCTCCAARTATTTTTGATCATATGCCACATCAATAGAAAATGTTCAAGCCCACATCCCTCCAAATAGGCATATTTATTTTATTTATAAATTACAGTCAACCCTCTGTATCTGTGGGTTCTACATCCATGGATTCAACCAACTTCAGAAGAAAAATATTTGGGAGAAAAATTACACTTGTACTGAACATGTACAGACTTTTTCTTTTCCTTGTCATTATTCACTAATCTGCTCAGCATATCCGATGTTTGCAAAGGGTTTACATTGTCTTAGATATTATGAGTGACCTGGAGATGGTTTAAAATATCAGGAAGATATGTGCATAGGTTGTGTGCAAATATCATGAAACTTGATATAAGGGACTTGGGTATCTGTGGATTCTGTTATCTGCAGGAAGTCCTGGAATTGATTTCTCAGAGACATCGAGGGATGACTAAATACTACTGTATTGCTACATCATGTGTCTTACAAAACACAGGGCAGAAATTGAATAATGATGAAATTAAAAGCACAGCTTCATAGATTTCCCCAGTATGTTTTCAGCTCTGGAGACCATTGGCCTCGTTTTCCTTTCTGACCTGTCCCAATTTTACATCTTTTATTCCATTGCTTCTAAAATTTACTTGAACTCTAGAAGCCACATGGCTTAATGAGTGGTTTCCAATCCGGTCACCAGTGAGGATTCAGCCTTCCTGGCTCATGTGCCTCCTCCGGTGTTCTTTCCCTTTGTTTTCCTTACTCCAGTTAATCCCCCTGCCTTTGGACTTATGACCTACAGAGTGGGAAGTAAGGACAGGAGGGCCAGTGTTGCTTATTCCTGCTACTCAGGCCCTGCTCTGTCACTCCGATCTCCCTGAGGACCGCCCCGAAGGAGGGGTTGGGGACAGCACAGAGCATCTTCTTATAAGCCTCCTTGCCAAAGATTGGGAGGAAATGATTTGGAACATTAAAGAAGGTAATAAAAATTAATTTCCTGGGTCAATTTGCTTTTTAATTACAGAGTTATCAACATGGCAACACTTACCTGGACCTCTGATTTGAGTTGAGGAGTGCCTGTGGTTAGTTCTGCTAGCTTATGTCCCTATGTTCTCCCACAGATGCCATGCACCGGCTCTTTGGGTGCCCAAACAGAGTTGACTATGAAGGTAGCCTGTGTCACAATTCCACAGGGAATATCTGCTTGAAGGTACAAAGAGGAGGCCCTGAAGCCTGTTTTGAGATCCACATCCTAAGACCTTGCTTGGTCTGGCAGCCAGAGCTCGGGCGAAGCAGAAGGGTCACATTTGAATCCCAACCCGCTCCTGGCCTGGTGATGCCTCTTGTCTTGTCCCTATCACCCATTTTAGGAATCAGCAGAGCTGGATCCAGCTTCACAAGCACCAGGCGGTGAAGAGAAGAATCTTGGCTTGCTTCAGTTGACCTGCCCACCTTACTCTCCATTCAAGGAGAACACAAGAAACAGTTCCTCTTGGACTCCAGGCCCTCATGAGTCCAAGGGAGGGCCAGGTAAGATCTGAGGTCTGATGCCACTGTCCTCAAAAGAAAAAGCATGTGATGCATGACAGGTTAGCTTCAGACCTCACCTGGACCCATGGGCCAGTTTCTAGAGGACAATTCTGGAGACAGACCTATGCCAGATGTTCTGTTGGACCCAGGAGTTCCCACCTTTATTTTCAAAGCCATTCCATGAACAGGGCTATACTAAACCTGCCCCCTTTTCCAGCCACACCCCCTACCTTCACCTTACCCCTTCTCCTGCCAGCTCATATGCTGAGAACTGGGAAGGTCTGCACTGTGCACTGTACCCCCCCTGCCATCTTCCCTACTAGTCTTTTTCCTTCCCAGCCTTGAGCATGGCACATATGAGGGCACATTTCTCTTACATTTAAGGCACATTTGGTGATTTTCCAGTAAATTTATGTACCAGATAGGACAGTTTGTACTCAGGAGTGTTAGGGATGATTTTGGTTGGAGTCTGAGACCAAGTGCTGTATTTCTAGTTCAGAGCCTGCTGCATAGGATGGACGCAATAAAAATTCTTGGTTTTTGGTTTGGACCAACTTCCTCAAGCTCTGCTCAGAAAAGTAAGAAGCAGAAGAGACTCAGAGGCAACTGGAAGCTGCTGAGGGGGGAGGACAAAGGAGCATGGTGCCACAGCAATGCTGGCTGGGCTCCACCGGCTGGGAACGGGAAGATGCGCGTACACTCACATCGGGTAAACTTCCACATTCCACCACTTCCGGTGCAGATACCAGCAGTGATCAGGTCATGTGCTTGCCGGGCAGCACAAAGAGCTCTTGGAGGCTGCTCCTGCAATTAAAATGGGATGCCTTACAAAAAAATCRCATGAAATCCTTCATCCTGTTGAGAAGGCTGGGAGGAAGGAGGCCTCAAGGATGGAGCTCCAGCTGCCACCAGCTCAGGCTGACATTTGTCCAGTAGCAGAGAGGGCTGGGGCTGGAGGGAGGCTCAGAAGACTTCCCAGGGCAACTTCAGACAAAGGAATGAGAAGAGAATGCTAATGAGGATGTGTATCTTCTAACTTATATTTTCTTGGATGCTGGAAAACTGACTTGAAATCATGGGATAACAGAACAGGAAGATACTGTTGAGTCTAATCCAATGTGTTCCCTTAATGGACAGGAAAACTGAGGTCCAGAGACATAAACTGAAATGACTGGTGCTCCCACTGCACAAGGAAAAGGATTCAAGGTGATTTTCGAGGGCTCCTCTAACCCACCATTCAGAGATTCTTGGGATTCTTGGCTTCTCTCCAAGGTTCTTTTTTTCCCAAACTGCAATCATGGTTTGGAAATCCACCAAACATCAATTGCTGGATGCTTTTAGATATAAAACTTTCCTCAGATATCAATTGAATCAAAATCTTTGGGGATGGGATTTCAAAATATAATTTTTAGAATTCCCAGTTGATTTCAATAGGCAACCAGAATTGTTCACATGGTCCTAAAACTGATGAGTTTGTTCTGAATCATGACTCCCCTCTCTTGTCTACAATCAATGCGACTCCATTCTCTGGTCTTCCCTACATACTGGTTTGTCTCTTGCTCATTCATTTAGGATAACACAGGTGACCGACAGCTTTTCATGGCTGTGATCAAAATACCTGACAAGAATGACTTAGAGGAGGAAAAGTTTATTTGGGGCTCTCAGTTTCAGAGGTTCAGTGCATGGTTGGCTGACTCCATCACTCTGGGCCTGCAGTGAGGCAGAACACCGTGGTGGAAGGGCCTGGGGGAAGAAAGCTGCTCGATTCATAGCAGCTGGGAAACAGAGGGAAATTATAATCCAGACCGTGCTCCCAGGGATCTACTTCCTCCAGCCATGGCTCACCTGCCTACAGTTACCAGCCAGAGTCCATTCAAATGATTCATCYATCAAATGGACTGATCCACTTCTGAAGCTATAGCTCTCATAATCTGATCATCTCTGAACGTTCTTGCCTTGCCTTGCACATGAACTTTTCAGGAAACATTAAAGATCCAAACTGGAGGTAAGCCCATGTTATCTGGTCAGACACACAGCACATGCGGGAAGGGGCGGAACTCAACCAACTGTGGAAGGCGATGGTTTGTCCTTCTGTGAACCAGAGCCAGAAAGCCTTGAGAACTTCAAACTAAGCAACGATTTCATCCTTGACAGGGACATGGCACAGGAGAAAATGGAAATAGACTTGGAGTTGCCCCCCAATTCCCCGACTACAAATGGCAATGCCCTGAGAAGAGCCAACAGTGTCCCTTTGGTCAATGGATTTGGCCTTCTCTTCCTTGAATTTATGGAGGTTCTGCAGGTATCTCCCTTGTCCCTGGTGTCTGGGGGAGTGGGGGATGGTGTACCCGTCCCACCCTGAGGCTGCAACAATGTGGAGCACCACCTCTTTCTAATTTCAGCCCACCTCTTACCAACTCCTTTGAAGAAACAGCA